TGTTACACACTGGATCTTTAAATGAAGGAACAGCTGAGGGACTATAAAGAGTTGGAATAGTAGGAATGGGATGAAAGGTGTTGAAATTAGAGAGTTTTTTTCAATGAGCTCAAGTGTATAGAGAGTGAAGTGTTTTACTTGGAATGAAGGTAAGACAGCTGAGGTCTGAGCCCTAAGCACTGCAGTGAGTTGCTGTGTACTAGAAGGAGTTGAGTTGTTTGTATGTGTATTGCTGGGTGTGTATGTGTATCAGTGTGTGTGTGCGACGCCATTTAACAATCCACCTACTGCAGTTAACTGCCAAGGGGCTTCTGGGTCAGGTCGATCATTGATTCACATAAGAGGCTGGAAGCAATGAAAGGAGTTGAAACAGCTGTTTTTATCTGTAAAAAAAAACAACTACTGTGATCAGAGAAGCAGTCTAATCAGCCAAATGTCCCCACCTGGAATTAATGGCTGCCATTGTGATGGTAACTGCTGAGTGTCTCCTGGGTCAGACAGTTGATGTAACAGAGATTAAGGTGTAATCTCTCAGAGAGGGTAATTCCTATAACCTAGATTTTAAAGTTGTGTGTGAGTTTACACGGCTAAACATGTTGCTGTAAAATATGTGTCTCATATGTCAAAAATATGGGAAAGTGAGCTAAAAAGTCCCTTTTTCTGTTTTTCTGACATTTCTGGTCTCAGTTAACACTAGAGTGAATTGTGCAGTTGGATGGCACCACTGTCACTTTGAGGCTCACAGCACATAATGTGTAAGTCTGTTTGTTTAGTTAGTTACACGGTTTGAAATGACAATTTTTGTTCTTCTTAGTTTTGATGTAAAAATGATCTATGAGGAAGTAACGGCTTGACCCCACTATGGGTGCGAAAAACAGATGTGTGCAGTGAAACTTCTCCTTGTTCTGTTTTCAAACACTGTGTAGGAGTTCTTCTTCCTCGGAATGGCTTTGAAATTAAAACAGTCATCGAGTTTACACATCAAAGCTAACTTCCACCGGCTCTGCTGTAACCTAACCTCTGTCTTTTCCTACAGCTCTTCCTGGTTGCTGTTTCACTGACCAGTCTCCTAATAAAACCATGAGGGTCTTCCTCCTGCTTTGCCTGCTGGCACTAGGCAATGCCAAACCCTACCAGCCAATCAATGTCATGGAATTCATGAGAAACTATGACGTCATGATGGCTGATTCGAGTGATGAGGATGACGACGATGACGACGACGATGATGACGATTATGATGACGAGAACTGTCCACCTGGTTGCAATTGCTCACCCAGAGTGGTGCAGTGCTCCGACCAGGGTTAGAGCACACACAGTATGAACGTATCTGGATACACGTTACTGTAAACACAGTCTGTTGAAAGACACCTTGAGTTACATTCATAGATATTGATAAAGGCCTGTTCTTTAATCTAATTTTAAACACTAGGGGGGGAAAAGCATATATTTTATCACATTAACACTCTGGATTGGCACATCCCAGCTACTATAACTTGACTATTCCCTCACTGACTGACTTTAATCTCATGAAACTCTCATTATTGCACCATTGCCACCTAAGGCTATGAAAAAAACTGGGGCAGTTGTAGACTTTCTGATTTTTCATCTCCTGATATGTCACTATTTGAGACCTGACATGGCGGAGTTGGAGTCAGAAAGACTACTATGACTTCTTCACCTGTGCATCTCTGTATTTTATATGTAACACACAGGTGTTGCATTAGCTCTGATCTTTAATCACCCATTCTTGTTTCTGCTAACAGGTCAGATCTCTGTTCCTGAAAAGATTCCTGAAGACACTGTGATCCTAGACCTCCAAAACAACGATATCACTGAGATCACGGAGGACGACTTCAAAGGCCTCCACAAGCTTCATGTAAGAGAAACATTCAGAACTGGTTTACTCTTCACATACAAATGGACACCACATCCTGCTCCTGTTAACATCAAACAAATGTAAACATCAGGTTTGTCTGAAGTTAACTAAGTAAAGAATTACATAAAATCAATCTGATGAAAATTAAGGATTGCAAATAGGTTCCAGTCACATCTCCAACCAATTCTATATCAGCCTACATGCAGCCTTCAGCCTTACGAGATGAATGTCTTTCTGTTCAAAACTCCAGTTGAGGAGTTGGGGCAGTAACAGCGGGTCTGTCTTTGTTCAAGCTGATATTTTCCCAGCTGGGAATTAACCAGACCAAATCAAACTTAAAACTATTATACTGTGCTCTGTCAAAGCAAAGAGTGAGAACAATCTGCAGCCACAGCTCTATGCTAGTACAGCAGCTTGAGATCCAGTGTTAAATGGTGCCACTCTTCCATCCTTACACCTGCTATAATAAGAGCAGAAAAACTGTTTAAATCTACTTTGTTTTATTCTGATTAATTTATCCCACAACAGGGCCTGTTTCTGATCAACAACAAGATCTCTAAGATTCACCCCAAGGCCTTCAGAAACATGGACCATCTCAGATTGCTGTACCTCTCCTACAATATGCTGACTGAAATCCCGGCAAACCTGCCCCCCAATGTCATCGAGCTCCGCTTCCATGAAAACAAGATCAACAGAATCCAGGAGAACGCGTTTAAAGGCCTGAGGAAACTCCATGTGCTGGGTATGACCTGGTTTCAATTTTCTGTACAGTTTAGCAACAATCAGTTTTCTTGAAGACCAGGGGTGTCCAGTACTTTGCAAAGAAGAGATATTTATTCAACCCGGACACTGCAGCAGTTGATTTTATTGATTTAATAATGATTTAGAAAAATATAAGAAGTAATGAATAAACTGCCACACTGTAGTCTTTTGGTTGAATGGTAATCTGCACTTCCAAAATTACCATTTAATCATATGAGTGTTTTCTGATATGCCACCTCTATGGTTAAGGTTTGGTTAAGTTTAGACAAGCCAAACTACTTGGTTAAGGCTAGGAAAAGATGATGCTAATGGTTAAAAGAACCAACACTGACTGTTGTTAGGAGATGGGATGCAAACCCTGGCCTCTAGCATCAAAGTCAGACACTTCTTATTGGTTTAAGTGTAGTTAAATTTAGGGAACCAAAACTATTTGGTAAAGGTAAAGCAAAGATTGTATTCATGGTTAAAGGAACCTTAACTTTGAGGTGTCAAAGTCAGACACTACACAATCATCCACCCCAACCTCTTTCCTGATCAGAAATTTAATCTGGTCATGTCTGCAAGGGTCTGCATGAGGAATATGCTGACAACCACACTGACTGTACAATACAAGACTGCCCAAACAGGCAGTAAGTACAGAACTGTATCCATGTTTGCCCTGCTGTCCAAATCCAGATCTAATTTGGAGTATATCAGGGACTTCATAGGTTTTTACTACAGTTTAGTCTAATTAATCACTCACTAAAAGGCCCTGTAAAGTGTTACTTAACATGCTACAGTCTTAGAAGTCACTCTCATTTACAAAATAAGGCTGAATCACATTCAAATGATGATTGAAAACAGACACCACAGCACTTTTTTTTACAAGAAGTTGTACCACAGATAGCCCTGACAGAATACTACTGACTATAATAGACTGAATTAAATATTTCAATCAAGCCAAGCTTTTACTTATTATCAAAAGATTATTCAGATTACTTTTTGTAGGCTTTTTCAACATCATTTCTTGATGAACTGTATGTATGGATATGTAAACAAAGTTGATCAGATATCTAAGAGTAACTGACTACTGTGATTCACTTGATGTATGTTCTCTACCGTAATTAGGATATATAATTGATCATTAATAATTAAACCAGATTTTTTTGTGCTTGTCCAAACAGAGCTGGGCGCAAACCCTCTGACCAATGCTGGAATTGAGATGGGAGCTTTTAATGGCTTGTCTTCCCTGTATATTGGTATAGCAGAGGCCAAACTAACTGCTGTACCAAAAGGTAAAATATCACTAACCTCATGTTTAAACAAAGGAATGGTGCCTTTCCTTCCCCCCTCATTCACCCACCTACAGTCTTACACTGGACCTCAACTGTACAACTAAATGAGGCATAAACACTGCTAATATCTTTTAATATAACACATTGATTTAACAGGTATGTTTTTTAAATAATCTATCCTTAACATTAGTTATGTTTGATGTGTTTTGTATCTCCCAGCTCTCCCATCCTCCATCACGGAGTTGAACTTGGACTACAACAAGATCTCTAAGGTGGAAGTAGAAGACTTCATCAGATATAAAAATCTGCAGAGGTGAATACCCACAACAAATGATCCCAGAAACTAATATTTTCCAATAAGTTATAAGTTTGTGCAGGCTATTGTTCAATTTAATTCTTATTTACTGTATATTTAAGGTTTGCTGGTAAACATGACAAACATTTACTGTTAATACTCAAAGGTTAAATTGACACCATAAAACATCACGTTGTCTGTGTATGTTAATACAATTTGATAACATAAATATTTCATTTAACAGTATAACAGTATTTGTGTCCTCTAAGCTGCCAGGTCTGCAATTCAGAAATTCACTTTTTATCTTCATCGCCATGCAGTGGCTCTGTTTATGTGTAATTCAGAATGGGAAGTTTAAATATAGGTATGTTTGTTTTTTTGGTATTTGATTTGTAAATCTATGTTTGTCACTCTGATGATTGATTGAAGTAGTGATTCCTGTCAACTTTTATTTGCCACCTTTACAGGCTAAGACTGGGTTTTAACCAGATCAAGTTTGTAGAAAATGGCAGCTTGGTCACCATCCCAAACGTCCGGGAGATCCACCTGGACAACAACCGCCTGAAAAAGGTCCCACCAGGCCTCAACTCCCTGCGCTACCTCCAGGTGATATAGACACTGCAACTATCAGTATCAGTAGATTAAAGTGCATGTCACAAAACTGAAAAAGTCTGCTGAGTTTAGTTAACAGTAAAGTTAGGACAGGGCTCAAAGCTATCAAGTCCACTCTGAGGGAAGGGCTTCTGAGAAGATGCATGCAGCCACTTCGTCCAGAGGTGTTGGTCGACAAGGTAGATTTTTTTCTCTTTATGCATGGAGATCAAACTAAAATGACAAAAGTTGCAGTGGCAGAGGGTAAAATAAATCAGGTATGCAGCCCTGACCTCCATCTACCCGGCTGTATCCACCAGCTCATCCTAGAGTTTCCCAAGATTCCCATGTACAAGTAAAAAAAAGCCCAGATGGAGGCATCCGGATCTCATGACTAAATCACCTCAAGTGCTCTTAATCAATCTTCCTTTCACTGAGAAGGAGCAGCTGTTTTACTCCAAGCTCCTTCCAGATGTTTGCACGTCCGCTTTGTCTGAAAACAGCCCATTCACCCTGCAGAGAAAAACTCATTCTGGCTGCTTGTATCCACTAAAGTACAGTATCTCATTGTTTTGCTCACCATTGTAGGTGAGGGTTGGAACATAAATCGACTACTAAATCAAGAACTTGGTCTTAAACCTCAGCTCCCTTTTTACCACCAAAGAGTACAACCAGTACAGCACCTGCTTCACTGCTGATGCTGCACCAATCCACCTGTCACTCCGTCTTGCCCTCACAAGATACCTAAAGTTTTTTACTTTTCCCCCAAATCTCATAGTGTAGCTTACGTAGATGTTGCAGAAAGGGCAGCCAAGTCTTTAATGTGTAACTTAAACTATGCTGCTTTCACATTAGGAGTTTCCTTCAGGTCAACCTGGAGATACAAAAATGCCAAATTTTTTAACTTGTAATTCAGACTGTTCCAGTCTTTCTCTCCTGATCTAAAAGATTGTGATTTTCCAAGATAGCAGTTAAGCAGCATTAGAACAGAACTCCTTATCGTGGTTGGTTTACTGACAAGGTAGAAGAATGTCTGATTAAAAACAAATTATCTCTGTCTGTTTAGGTGATCTTTCTCCATGGCAACAAGATCAGCAGTGTTGGAGTCAACGACTTCTGTCCCATCAGGCCCAATGTCAAGAAAAACCTGTACACAGGCATCAGTCTGTTTGCCAATCCTGTTAAATACTGGGACATCCAGCCAGCCACCTTTCGCTGTGTGACCGGACGGAGGGGCGTTCAGCTCGGAAACTTCAGAAAGTAGAAGTAGGGAGTGAAAACAGTGCGTTCCAGACAGCTCATAAATGGAGAACTGCCAATATCTTTGTTACAGTATAAGGAAGGAGCTGGAAATGATTTGGATAGATATGTGCATTCCTAAAGTGCAAGCTGTTCAGGAAATTAGAAAAACAAGTCATTATATTGATGTATATTAGAAACTGTAGTACATGTTGAATGCTGGTTCAATTTACACATAGAAGTTCTTGGCCAGGGGAAAAAACTAAATGTAGTCTGGATGTTGTTGCACAAAATGAATATTAAACCATAAGCTACTACACTAAGACAATGTTTTCAGTAAGTATACAGGGGATGGATGTAATAACATGAACAGATGTACATTATAATGAAATTCAGCACAAGAACCCTGCCTACCTTTGTGAGGTATATTCTGTAAAGTGATCCTTATCATTTGTCCCTCAAATTTTGCTGTATGAACTTTCCCAGGAATAAAGCGCCTCCCTCTGGTCACCTTTTGAGCAAAACCACCCAATGACTTGACTTAAGTAGATTAGCTGTAAAATTGGAAAACTGACTTTTTTCCTCTTTTGTCATTTTCTTACATATTATATTTAAGTCTTTTTAAAGTTGAGACATTGTTTATGATAATTACAATGTCACTATAGGTCATAGATAAGAGAAGATAAGACATCCCTCCCAGCATAAGTCTGTAGAGTCAATGTATGAAACTGGCATTATTTAGTGCAATAAGTCACTTTGAAGCCGATGTCGGTCTTTATGTGGATGTTTTATATTATCTCAGTGCATGTCTGTATTGTCTTTATTTAGAAGCTGAAAGCTACGTGTCAGACTGGATTATACATTGATGTAAACCCAAAACGTGAATTGATTTTAATGAACTATAGTAACCAAGTGAACTACAGTTATCACTGAAATTATTAGGAGGTAATGTAATTCCCAACCCGGAATGTCTGAAAGCATCTTCTTTACAAACAGGTCCCTGTTTCCTCCAGTGATGTTTCTGAAATGGTGCTATATTTATTTAGTATGTCTTTAAATAAAACCTGGAACACCTCCCCATTTATGTCTTTACTTTTTGTCAAAGTGTGTTCATATTCTCTTGTCCTCTAGGAGAAACTTGTGATTTTAGGCTCTATAAATAAATTTGACTTAATGTATCAGACAAAGCTTGAATACAACGATGTATGGCAAATGTAAATGGGCAAGGTACTAGTTGTAAAGATAGTAGGAGAAAGAAAGTAACATAAAAGGTTACTGAAGATCAGAAATCACCAACTCTGCATACTGTAGTTTTATTTAAGTAACTGATTTTAAAAAGGCAAAATTGTGTTCAAATAACTTTCGAACCAAATGGAAAGAGTCTTATGTAGATTGAATTCTTAGAAGAGCTGCAACTAACAATTTTATGTAATAATAGTTACAAATAACAGTCATATAAAAATAGTGAAAAATTTAAATCAAAGGTTTTCAGAGCCTACGTTTACATCTTCAAATGCCTGTGTACTACTGTCCAAGATATTCAGTTTACAATGATATATAGAACCAGAAAATCCTCACACTGGAGAAGCTGGGACCAACAAATGTTTGGCAGTTTTGCTTGAAACAGTTAATAGATTATCAAAACTATTGCTCTTCTAACTGCTTTTGATCAACTAGTCAATCACGTAATCTACGTAATGTTCCTTCGTGACAACCACTCTCAACATACTTTAGGAGGTACAGCTGTGTTAGGTAAAAATATATAAGTGATCAGTTTGACCAGAAAAAAAGCGAGTTCTCCACTTTCCCTCCAGCTTAATGTTTTTACTGGGACCAGTGCTGGTTTCTCTGGTAGGAGGCTGATAAAGACCAGTTCAGCAATTCCTTTATCTACCAGCAGATGTCACTGCACACTAAAGAGTTACACACAGTTCTCTTGGTGTCAGTGGAGGTCAGGAGATTGATCCAGAACGAGGACACCCACGAGTGATTGGTTCAGATTTTAAGTCTATAGTGTTGAGAAACCGTGGCTTCGTGGGAGACTGTCCCTCTATTCTGCAGGACAATACAGGGGACCATTTTTAAATTAAATTACATTATGCTGTGGGTTGCCAATGCTTTGCTATAGTTATGGTTGCCAAGTCAGTCTACTCTACTAATACTTCTAAAATGAGGAACTCTCTAGTAGCCAGATTTATCTGGAAAATAGTTAAAGGAGGAGAGTCATGTAAATGCTACAATATGTTATTAATACAGTAAAATATAAAAAATGTTTCTACTTATGCCAAATACTTTTCATCACATAGAACTATGTCTTGTATATTATTTTATCTGCACAATTCAGCCTGACAGCTTTGGTATCTCATTTACAACAAATAAAGCAGGGTTGCACAATGTCAAAGTCATTTCTAAAGATGGAGCCACGTAAGTGTGTGGCAGGGTTGAAGGTAGCCCTGATCCACGACTGTTGTCTTACGTATTACAGTTATGGGTAGCCATCTGAAACTCTTACAGGAGGAATGTTTAAAATACAAACTGGATGGCAGAAAACCTTTTTAGCGACTAATATAGTGAGGAAAGAATGAAAGCGGGTGGTAAAGAAAAACAAATAAATCTTTAAACCATTGATTCATTCCCCCAATATTTCAAAAGTATCCACCAACACAATAAAGTTCCCATGTAGGCCAATTTTTAATGAACAGATGGCGCACAGGACTCATCCAGACCACATTCTGGAGATCTGTTCAGACTCATCAATAAAAACCAGTAAAACTGAGTAAACCAGATTGAGCTTGATAATGGGTATTTGTATGTTCCTGGAAATTTTTACAGCTGTAAGAATGGGTTTGTTTTTTAATTTGAATGGCCTACGTGTTTATACTCAAAAAGTAAGTAATCTACAAAAGCCTATCTTTATTGTTTTTTGCCAGCATTTTCATGAAGAACAGTATTATTTTAATCCATTCATCCAATCCACTTATCTTTAAGATGGTCGTGGGGCAACTGAAGCCAATCCCAGCTGACATTTTGCTTGGGTGGTGCCATTGGAGTAGCCTATGTTATTTGCTCAAATTAGGTCTTTTCTCTCCCGACCTGATCTCAAGGTCACACATGCTGTTATATCATCTCAGTATATACAGACGGGTGACAAATTAAAGGAAATAACAGTTTATTATTATCATTATCACTAATACAAACCTGGATTAATTGATTTTTTTGACTTGTGTTCGTGTCCGCATGATGTCATTCTCCTTTAACGCTCAACCAACTTCGGAGAAAAAAATATGTCTCTTTAGCTGCGTGATGTTCCCCTTTCTAGTCTCTCTAACTTTGCCTGTCTGCCATTTGTTGCTGGGCAGGTAGCGTACAGTGAGTTTATCAGAGCAGACATTTGCTGAAAACAGCTGGCTGCCGCTGCTTTCTGTTTGGCTTCAGTGGGCAAAAATTCCATTAAAACCTTTCAGCATACTGTAAGACAAGTAATCTGAGAGAAAAGGCTTTAGAAAATGTAGTCTTTGACAGACGACTTTGACCAATCATAGGTCATTTCAGAGATGCACGTTTACGTCCCTTTAGATGGTAAAAGCCAGATTTATTGGCGAAAAATACTGCAGGAAATCCAGCAACTTGTGATTTCCAAACACTCCTTTGCCTACAGCAGCATACAGTACAAAACACATCCTGGCGTCCTTTAGACTTATTTTGTTCGATGCCATGACGACTGGCAAAGAAGCATCATGGCATGCACTAGCCTCTCATCCCGCTGTTCTACAGCGACAGCTGCCTCTGAAGCCTGGGTCACTCTGCCCTGGGGCCACTAAGTGCTGGAGCAGCGTCTTTGAGAAGACGACTCATGGCAAGAAGGACCAGGGTCTTGGTGAGGCTCACGCCGGAGACAGCGAGCCCTATACGTGACATGAGGTGTCGCAGGGAACCGGACCGACTGCTTTTGCTGCCGTACAATCTTCTGGGTTTGGTGTGAGGGGCTTAGCGGAGCAATACGAGCAGCAGAGAGAGACGTGGAAGGTTTTGCGTTGTTTATGTTCAACTGTTGCCGACATCAGCAGCTTTAAGGGTGCTGAGAGCAAAACAAAACCAGTAAACTTTTGGGTCATGCTGCAATAACACACAATAAGCAGAGAGATGCTGAAAACAATCTGTAGAGATGATTAGAACAACAGAGTTGGTGATAATTCTCTGTGGCTCGCTCACTACGGGCTACAGGACGTACTTCCAGGAATGTGATGTTCCTGTTTAAAGGTTGTTTGTGTGTGATATATACTGATGAAGGATCTATCTTGTGTAAAACAATGGGATGTCAGTGATGGAGAAAAAAGGCACTGGGAATTAGCCATTTTCCAGTAAATTCAGGTGCCTATTACATTAGGTCTTTGTGGAAATTACTGGACCCAAACATTTCTTCATTCTTGCTCAGCTGACAAAAACAATTCAAACAGTGAAACACACACACAGACAGGAATGATGAATGTGATGAAACCAATGTGAAAACGTGACGGACTGTGAGTGTTTTCTTTGCCCTCTCAGTCTCTCTGGGAGGCCCCTGTCAAACAGCAGCCAGCTCTCTGCAGACTCCCAGAAACCCAACACCTGCAAGCTGCCTTTGTCAGATCCATCTTTACCTGAAACTGATATCTACAGACCACAGAAAATGAGGCAGAGCTACAGTACAGTACAGCAACGTAGTGCTGCGGATGGTTTGCTTCTCGACTGTTTTGTCTTTTTAAATGAAGACTCGTTTTTACTGTGGATGGGGTGGAGGGGAGCTGCCTCTCTCTCTTTCTCCAGGAAACATATGGAACAGATCTGCCGGTTGGCCAGGCCTCGTTCTGCCACGTCTCACAGCCACACACACACACAAAGACATACACACACAGAAAATGGTCCTAACTTGAAGGTTTTTAACTCTCTTCACCCTCTGCTTTCACTCCTCTTACTCATTTTCTCTATCTTCTCTCCCGTCTTCCACTTTGTTCTCCATCCATGCCGGTCAACGATATGAAGATGCTCCACATGTTAAAGTAGAGTGCGTGTTAATTGTGTCCCAAGTCAGCTGCCGCCTCCTTCAAGTGTGGACAAAAAGGGTCATAACAGCTTAACAAGGTCCGTTCTAAGAGGCTGAGAGAAAACCAGCTCAGAAATACAACCTTCTTTTAAGTTTTTGTATCCTAATTGCAACAATAAGTATCCAACAATGTGTTTTTCCAAAGCGTTTCATAATGGATAGCATTTTATGGCTCCCCACATCACCTAAAATTAGGTGCTTTAACTATGACATTTTATTAATTATTTTTTACTTTTTTAAAATATACTATAGGCTTATTAAGCTTCAAGCAGTGGTGCTAATTGATACAGCAAAAGCCATATATCAAAGTGAGTGAGGTGATTTTGTTTTAACCGTCATCTAATAACTACATTAATTAGATACATCAGGATCTCTCTGATTCTGCTCAATCATGAAGCGTGAGGAAAGACCCACAGCTGCACTGCAGGTCAGACAAGTTGAAGTTAGTTTGATTATCACCAGCTGAACAGCTGTTTTAGAGTCTGCATTGAGTTTAAAGTTCACACTGACCTGATCTGCTTTGTATCTTTAATGGTTGGGATATATATTTTTTATTTTACCATTTTTTTGTATCACATTTGCAACCATCAGTCCTTAGCCGCGCTATATTTTTGTACTTAATTCTGTGTAGTTGTGATGATGCAATATTCCCACAAAGATCACTAAAGTATCAGTCAGTCTCATCTTTTTCTCCTCCTTTTCCTCTTTTAGTCGCCTCCTCCTCACCAGGCCTCAGTAAGTTCTTTCAGGTGAAATGCTCCTGGACACTTCTTCTGTCTTTAACTGTAAATCTGTGATATGTGTCGGATTTATTGTGCCTTCTCGGGAACGTGTCTACTTTAAAAGCTGTTTAACTGCCTGGAGAGATAAATCAACTGTCCCTCTCTGCCGTTCAAATATTTAAAATCCAAAAACAACAAATTCAGATCACTTTTTCAAGCTTCTATCCTGTCCTCCTCTTCAGCCTCCTTTACCACTCAAACAGCTGTGTATGATA